GGGATTACACCCAGAAAGGAAAGAGACAGCATCCTTTACTTCTCTTTGTTTAATCCAGGATCAGGCCCACATTTTGCTCAAAACTGTGTTTTGCATAAGCTGTATTTTTCTATAGTCTTTATTGATCTATTTATTTTAAGAGCATTTTTTGAACCTCACAGACATTTAGTTCAGGTTGATTTTATAATGGCCTAATTTAATTACACAAGAGCAGCTATGCACTGAGGCACTACCTTGTCCATACATGAGTGCAAATTCACCTTTTATGTTCTTCAGAAACTCACAATGGAGGTGAAATATAGCCATTTTGACTTCAGCCATTGAATCTATATAATCCCATTTGAAAATTACTTAGGTTGGAGCTGTCCAAACATTCTGGGGTAGTGAAATCCACATTTTAACAACCTTTGTATCCTCAGATTCTGTATCAGATTCAATCATCCAGAATTCAAAAATATTTTTAATCTCCCCCCCCCAAAAAAAATCCCAATATTTTACCTTGTATTTACTTAATCCTTAAATATTTAATTTCCCTTATTGCTCTTATCCAATTCTCAATCTCATTCTTTTGCCCTTTACTACATCATTGAGTATAATGAGACTTTAGCATCCATGGATTTTGGTCCTAGAACTAAACTCCTGTGGATAATATGGGCACACTGTACTTATTTTTATTTGTCCTGAATCCCCCATCAGTCAGTTTTAATATATGATTTTGGATTGTAGTATTATGAGAGATGCATCATGTTCTGGAGTTGATGCCTCTCTTTGGTTATTTTTTTCCTAAACTAGGGAGCCCCAAACATAGCAAGCTCTCCTCCCAACCCCAACTTGCTGCTGTTCCTAGATTGTTTTAGTTGGTTTTTCTGCAATTTTTCCTACAGTCATGTGTGGCCCCACTATGGATTTTTATGGGGAAATTGTAATATTGCCAATTTTGAATCAAATTCCTTTATATTTATGATCTGGTTTTTATTCCTCCCACTGCCTACAATCTGTTGGGTAAATAATTGTTTTTTGTTTAGTTTGATTCTTCTCCCTAGTAATTTTTCCATCTCATCCTTAATCTTGTTATAGAAATTTTTGTAACTTTTTGCAGTCTCACCACATATGGATAAACCCTCCACTTCCCCCGTAGTTATGCCAACTAAATATTGATTTTTTTTTTGTAATGTGGGACTTGATATCATTTTGCCAATATTTTACATTGTATTTCCTTAATCCTTAAATATTTAATTTCCCTTATTGCTCTTATTCTGCTGTGAGTCGCCTTCGGGCTTGAGATACAGCGGTAAATAAGCAAAGTAAATAAATAAATAAATAAATTATTCAATTCTCAATCTCATTCTTCTTTCAGTTTAATTCGTCTTTCCATACCTCAAAGTATGTTTCGTATTGTAGTGACCAAAAGTGAACACAGTAGTCACACATGACCCCACTATGCATTTTTATGGGGACATTGTAATATTGCTAATTTTGAATCAAATTTCTTTTATATTTATGAACAGCTTAAGAGTTTGCTTTGAACAAGCCCACTGCCATCATCAGTGAACATGACTTTCTTACAACGTATCCCTAATATTAGGGTTTGCACTACAATATTCTCTCAACTTCAAACTTGGTAGATATAAATGTTTAGCAGTTTCATATTTACCTTTTGGGAGTATTTTGTCATCAGTTCATTATCTTAGAACCATAGAATTAGAAGGGTTATCTAGTCCCACATTTTCTAGTGTAGGAATCCACAACTAAAGTGCTCTTGAAAGATGGCCATCCAATTTCCTTTTGAAACCTCCAATGAATATGAATCCACAACCTTCTAAGGCATACTGTCCTAATATCACTTATGGCTCCAAATTATGACTACAGCATACATGGATGAACATAGGATAGACAGCAATCCTCAAGGTACCTACATTCCAACAATGTATAGTTTTTCAGGCAAAAACTGTCTTCAGAAGTAGCCTGATGCCAAGGCCATTCAGTTAAACTAGGCAAAATATAGTTAAAATTCATAGCTTCCAACAGGAACCTAGCTTCCACATTTTGCACTGACTACAGCTTCTACGTGTTTTCTAAGAGCAGTACCACTGGCGGTAACTATGGTGCGTGATGAGCTCTGGTTTTGCCAGGGATGGTTATAGATAGGGCCATAGCCCAGAGCAAAACCTTTGCATGCAAAAGTTTCAGTCTTCGGGACTTTCAGGTAAACGTATATAACAAATCCTGCATTAAACCATTTATATAGATAATACTAAACTAGATAGTCCAGTGATCATCATAAGGCTCTATCTCTGTTCCTGTGACACTAGATAGGAGATTTGCTCAACCAAGCAGAGTGCTGGATCAAACTGAGTTAATTTCCAATGTGTGTTGATAAGTATAGGACTTTTCTGTTGAGTGGAGAACTAGATCTTTCTCAGTCTATTTTACCTACTTAAGATTGTTAAAATACTACAATAGAAATCAAGCATGGAAGCGTAGTGTCATAAAGCATGCACACTACCAATGAACAAGAAACTTCTAGTTTGTTTGTTTGTTTTTCAAAATAAGAGTACTCCTTTGGGATAGAAAGCCTAATGCAGGCTGAAGGGAAATGAGTACAAAACACTATGTTTTATATAGCCTGCTTCAAATAACCTGGTAGTTGAATAGACAGAGGATATACTATATTTTGACAAGATATTGCTACATTTAAAAGAAATTAACGCAATGACACTATACTATTTTTAATTAAGGCTTTGACCTACAATCCAGCATACAGCTGAGCTGCCTAAATCCTGCAAAAGTCACAATTATATGGGCTAAATGTTTGCAGAATTTCAGCTGCATCCTCCTGTTGTTATAGAATCCCTGTAGTCAAATTGGGAGAATATTCAGCCCTCCTGGATTTGATGAACTACTAATATTACTGAATGTCAAATTATAAATTTTAACATATGGACTGGTTGTTTTAGTATATATTGATCTTCTATGTTTTTAATTGATGTTATGACTTTTTAAACTCATTTATAAGTTGCATTTTAATCTGTTGTCCCCTGCTTCAATCTATAAGGAGAGATCGGTATGAAATCACCACCACCACCACCATTATTTCTCATCGCTGACCATGTTGGAGAGGATTGATGGGAACTGCTTTTGGAAATTACAACCTTCTTCAAACCTTCTCTAGTAATGTTTATCTATTATCCTGCTGCTTACTGTTAATATGTATGTTCTGGTATGCAGCTTCCTTTACTCTATGATTCTTGAGAAGCTATAAAAGGGCCTGCAGACCACATGCCCCCCCTCTCTCTCCTTTTGACTATGTGATCTGTTGATAGCTGTTTTGTTATAAGAGAGATGCCCTGACTGGCTGGCACAGAAAATTATCTGAAACATATTTGAAACATATTTTGTACTTGTTTATGCTGAACATATGAAGGTTGTGAGTAAACCAAATATGTTATTTTTTATCAAAGTCTACTTCATTTTTGTCTTTTGGGTGTCTGATATAAAACAAGCTGTTTTATGGGAGGGTATATATTTTTGGGCACTGAAAAACACTTTTGAAGCGCTGCTATTTTTATGCACTCACAACATCTCTGTTTTCCTAACAGATAAGAGATAACAGGTTATTCAGTCTAACAACTGAAACCAGTGCCTTGTAGAGAAGATTCTGTTATGATCTCCAAAAGATGTTTTCCCAAAAGGTTATGAATGCCATTTTCCAAAATCTGCAACATGTGACACGTTATTTTTTTTCTATCAAATCTAAAAACAATACACATCAGGAAATAAGGGATATGAACTCTGCACTGAAACCGAAAGCATTTAATGTCTTTGAATCTAATATTGACAGGAGCCAATGCACAAAGCAATGATATGTGCATAATGGAAGGAAATAGTGATGTTTGTAGAGTGATTGAAACAGCCACATGCATCAAAAGGAATATTGATAGCTATACCACTCAAGCTTCGCATAATACCATGCTGGGACTTGGCACTGCTTCTAACAGAAGCACATGCTTTAGTGCAATATAATATGAAATTCTGTTTAAGGATATGTCGTATTAAAAACACTTCATAATTGTTACCATTATCAATGTTACCCTGCATTTTCCACAAAATTACAATTTAAATCGAGTACAACATATCTTAAAATGCGACAGATCAAATTAAAATGGAATTAAACCATCCCTACAAAAACTGTTTCATAAAAACAAGGCAGCACTGCCATAAAAATCCTTTAAAAATCAGTTCGAAAGGCCTATCAGAATAAAGTCTTTGACTTCCAAAGACAAGACAGGAGGAGGCAGTCATTTTGACCTCAATGGAAAGGAAGTCCCTTATGTTTTCATCAGCTATGCCTATGAAAGTGGTGATGCTGAGAGAAGGACCTTTCCTGAGTAGCTCAGTAGAGGCCCATATAGGGGAATTCGGACTGTCAGATAGGCAGTCTTATTAGATAGCTCCATTGACGAGCAGCCAGATGGATAACTCCATCGATGAACAACTATCCAATAAAACCTCCCTATTCATAGGGGATAGTTCCCAGCCAGACCACAGTTACCTGAAACCATGCATATGACTGAATGCCACTAAACAGCATGACTTCTGGTCCAAGCCTAGAGAGGTATCCTCTCTAGGAATTTGCTAGATCCTCCAGTGTATTTATATGGCAACTTCTGGGGAAAGTATACTGTAAGATAGCCTGAAGGACTTAGAAAATTCCTAGAAAGTCCATTTGCCCCCCCGGACATAGTTAAAGAAAACTGTGGATATGGGTTTTATTACGGGATATCCCTGTATTCTTTTTAATAAGTTCAATGTCTATTTGTTATATTATGACAGAGAAAGGGATAAGTAGGGAAGCATCTGTACTGCAATTATTCTAATAATGTAATGCTGTGTTCTCCAAGCAGTTAAAAACAATGTTAAAATACTAAGCATCAAAGTGAAAATTACAAGTTCCAGATTTTGTCATCCAAACTTGTCATCCAGATGTTTAACATACTTACATCTCCCTCTACAGTCCTCTGATCCTCATCATCCTTGGTGGGGCTGATGTCTTGCCTCATCACCCAAATGGGCTCTTTGGGTTCATCAGGAGTATAAGGGGAACGGATGGTCCTTGTCTTCACTTCCTCAATAGCTTCTTTAATGTCTTTAATAGCCAGTGATATTGCATCCCTTTTTTCCTTGCTATACCTTTGCACCGATTCCCCCACATTAACCGATGGTTTAGAACCACCTGAAAGTTGACTGTTGCTTTCAGGACGCACATTAGCAAGAGCATTACTACTGTCCACGTTCTGCTCTGCTTCTGGCATGTCTTCAGCAGCTTTGTCTAGGCTTTGAGAACTCATGCTTTGTTTAACTTCGGCCACAATTTGGTCAATATCTTCCTCTTGTTCGTAACTGTCCATCCTTGGATATGGAGCAAACTCCGCCTCTTTCTCGGGACTGTCGGATTCTCCATCAGAGCGCTCATCATAATGGTGGAGACGTGCACCTAGAGCTTCCTTTCGGTAGTTGTCAGCCTCCTCCCTCTCTTGCTCATAGAGTCTCAGACCTTCCCTGACATCAAGATCAGGTGTGTCTCCTATCTCCTCATACACATGTTCTTGCAGCCCATAGTCAGCATAGGGCTCCGCATACTGCTCGTCTTCCCCTCGGTGGAAGAGTCGGTGGGTGTACACATAGCCCGAATATGCTGCATTCATGGCTTCCTCATGCTCAATGGAATGAAAGTGCAAGTGGTTGGGGAGAGTTCGGTTATGGAGTGTCTCTGCATGTTCTGCCTCAGCATTTTCGGTGTATTCTTCTGCCTCAGGTCTGTACTGTACAGCATAGGCACTCTCATCCTCATTTTCTAGCACTCTATCTCCTTCATAGTTATCCCCTGCTGTGGCTATGACATCTCCCTCTGCGGTATCGGTGTGATTATGGAATCCACTCTCAGTGCTAGCCGATCGTGCCAGCATGCCCTCTTCTTCCTGTCTAGAGTGTCCTCCATGGCCACCATTGGCACATCTTGGGTAAACAGCATACTGTTGTTGTTCCTCCTCTGCCTCGGAGTGCTCCAGATCAGCCTCTATAGACTCATTGACCTCTCTATTTCCTAGTTCATCATTGCCCTCTCCTTCTGGTGGCCCCTCAAAGTGGTTCATGGCAGGTAGTAAAGGATGCTTCACTTATTCTATTGACATTTTGTGTGTTGTGTCTGTAAAGACATTATCAAAAAAAAGGGCAGTTAATACACAAAGGAAGTAGACATTTTAAGCTAACACAACATTAAATCTAATTTTCAATAGTCAGCTTATAAGCAGTAAAATCGGAGCCATATATTAAAGTTGGATCAGCAGACAGTGAATATCAGGTGTTACCCAAATTGTTTTCATAAGCAGAAAATATTGACAAAAATAGAGAATGCATGGTATATAATTACCAGCCAATTAGCCAAAAGCGAATAGGCTGGCAAATGAGACATATAGTGTGAAGGATATGCTGCCAAAGAGAAATGCATATATCATTGGTCGGAAAAAAGAGAAGGAGAAGGTTGTTAAGAGTACAAAAAATTCTGCAAGGACAAGAAGGAAACATATGAAGTTAAAAGGACAAATATGGCCCAAGGCAATACATTTAATTTGACAGATGGGAAGTACTGTAAGAAGATAGACAGTTGAGTATAAAAGAAGCATTTACACATAAAAGATATCTGATAGATGCGGAAAAATAGGAGAAATCAAATATAAACCCACTGATTCAACACAAGTTGAAGAAAATGTTGTACGAGTTCATGGACTGTTCTTGCACTCAAGTGCTCTTGTCTCAAACCAGCAATAACAACCAAAGCTCTTTCGATGATAAAAGAGAATCAGGCATAATCTCCTGCTTTGAACTTTTTTCTTTTGTCTGCTCCAAAATCAAGAACTTCAGTGAAAAGCTATTAGGAACAAGAAAATAAATTGACCCTGTTTTCGGTAAACATAATTTTTCTCATCCTCCTCCCACTGCACAGCTGGTTGAAAACCTTTTATACTTCGCAGAGCAATTGCTGAAGGCTTTGAAATGCAGCACTATAAATAAGGAAGGCCCGAGAACACAAAGGAGTCATCAAGCCATGCACTCAAGAGTAAAATATAAATTGTAGTCTGTGGTTTATTGTAATTTTGAAAAAAAGGGAAAAGGTGCTTGACAAACAGGAGTGTTGATCACACGGAATGACTATAAATGGATGTGTCATGTCAATAAATATTTAACGCTCATAGCGTTGATGTGGAGCCAGAAATCTACGAATCTGACAATGAATAGTGTGAATAACGTGTAACCACTCCTGTTATACACTCTGGAGCCAGTGCTAGAAAGAGAACATTGGCAGTAAAGCTCACTGTAGGTCCAAGCTGATGCATTATATTTTAGTCCAACATGATGCCCAACTGGAGTCCCCCCCCCCCAAAACGCAAGTCCTAGCATTCCTCATCATTGACAATGCTGCCCAGAACTGTTGGAAACTGCAGACCAATGATATCCAGAGGGACACACTTTGCTAGTCTTTGATGTCCTTCATAGCTGAACCAAGAGAGGTCTACTAAATATGCCCATCTCTTAGCAATGGTCAGTTTCCTGTACTACAGCGGTGGATTGTGGCCCATGGACAGAAACTATGAACGCTGTGATCTCTGCCCCTCAGACTAAGTCAATATAGGATCTCAAAAACACTAAACTTGCCATTACAACAATACATTAACTGGAGCATCCAGTGGCGCAATTGGTTAAACCCTTGTGCCGGCAGGACTGGTCGACCAACAGGTTGGCGGTTCGAATCCGTGAACGGGGTAAGCTCCCATCTGTCAAGCTCTAGTTTCTCATGCGGGGACATGACAGAATCCTCCCACAGGATGGTAAAACATCAATCATCTGGGCTTCTCCTGGGCAACATCCTTGCAGACAGCCAGTTCTCTCACACCAGAAGCAACTTGTTTCTCAAGTCTCTTCTGACACACAAAAAAACTGTCTCTCTACACTCACTGCTGCCATTTAAAAATTGAGTGCTAAGGCCCATTTGGCATTGCAAACATATCCACAGCTAATCCATTAAAATATTTATGGGATCACACTGACCAGTATGTGGCCCAAAGTAAATAATAAACCAATGTGCATAATGTTGCTTTGCTTAGACACCTGTAAACAATCCCAAACAGACATCTTTTACAACTTAATGGAATCCCACTTCTAAAGGCAGGAAACATATGCAATCTAGTTATTTTGTATTTCAAGCATCTGAAACCACATAATTATAGAATTGGGGAGGGAGAGAAGGAAGCATAACATTAAAGCTTCCTGACAGAGTGTTTCATGTAGTAACTCCAACAGGTTGGTGGTGTGGCAGAGTTTACCAAGCATGCAAGAAAAGCCACTTCCACCAAAAGAACTTGATTTAAGAACACAGCCTAAATGTGCATCTACATTGCAGAAGTATTGCTTAATGCTATGGAATCCTACAAGTTGTAGTTTTACAAAGTCTTTAACCTTCCCTGTCAAAGATTGCTGGTGCCTCACTAAACTACAAATCCCAGGATCCCATAGCATTAAGCCATGCCAGTTAAAGTGGTATTCAACAGCATGGTAAGAGGACAAACACCTCGCTGCACTACAGTCTCCCTACCTGAGCTAGCGGGGGTGGTCTCGAGCCTGGTGTTGGAGTCTCAACAGCTTCTTGTGCTGGGAGACTTCAACATCCATGCCGAGGCGACCCTCACAGGTGCGGCTCAGGACTTCATGTCTGCCATGGCAACCATGGGGCTGTCCCAACAAATATCTGGCCCCACTCACTGCGCTGGACACACATTGGACTTGGTTTTCTGCCAGGGATGGGAACAGGGTGGCGGTGTGGAGGAGTTGTCCATCTCTCCGTTGCCATGGACCGACCACTTCCTGATCAGATTTAGGCTCACTGCGCCCCCTAACCTCTGCAAAGGTGGAGGACCCATTAAGATGGTCCGCCCCAGGAGGCTGATGGATCCGAATGGATTCCTGACGGCTCTTGGGGATTTTCCTGCCACCTCGGTAGGTGACCATGTCGAGGCCTTGGTCGCTCTCTGGAATGGGGAGATGACCAGGGCAATTGACATGATCGCTCCGGAGCGTCCCCTCTCAAGTAGCCGAGCTAAACCAGCCCCTTGGTTTACCGAGGAGCTGGCAGTGATGAAGCGAAGGAAGAGGGAACTAGAGAGCGTGTGGCGTTCGGATCCAAGCGAGTCAAACCGAGCACGGTTTGTGTCCTTTCTTAGGGCATATGCCGCGGCAATAAAGGCCGCAAAGAAAACTTTCTTTGCGGCCACTATTGCGTCTGCAAAGAACCGTCCGGCGGAGTTGTTTCGGATTGTCAGAGGTCTTTTAACTCCCGCCACTTCAGGCGGGAGCCCTGACAATTCGGTCACGCGCTGTGAAGCATTTGCTCGGTTCTTCGCAGACAAAGTCGCCTTGATCCGTTCTGGGCTGGACTCCGCGTTAAATGCAGTCTCGGAGGATGTAACAAGAGCACCTGCTTGTCCTATTTTGATGGATTCCTTTCAGTTTGTGAAACCCGAGGATGTGGACAAGATACTTGGAGGAATGAGGCCCACCACGTCCATCCTAGACCCCTGCCCATCCTGGCTTCTGAAGGAGGCCAGAGGGGGATTGGCTGAGTGGGTAACGATGGTGGTTAATGCCTCCCTTCGGGAAGGCAAGATTCCAGCATGCTTAAAACAAGCAGTTATAAAACCGCTGTTGAAGAAACCATCATTGGACCCCACTAAATTCGACAACTTTCGGCCTGTTTCCAATCTCCCCTTTTTGGGCAAAGTCATGGAAAGCGTGGTGGCCTCACAACTCCAGGTATTCTTGAGAGACACGGATTTTCTGGATCCGGCACAGTCTGGTTTCAGACCGGGACATGGTACTGAGACAGTCTTGGTCGCCTTAGTGGATGATCTGCGCCGGGAGCTAGACAGGGGGAGTGTGTCCCTGTTGGTGCTCCTGGACCTCTCAGCGGCCTTCGATACCGTCGACCACGGTATCCTTCTGGGGCGCCTTGCGGAAATGGGACTTGGGGGCATTGCTTTGCAGTGGCTCCGGTCATTTCTGGAGGGTCGTACCCAGAAGGTGTTATTGGGGGACTGCTGTTCAACACCACAGCCTTTGACCTGTGGGGTTCCACAGGGTTCCTATACTGTCCCCCATGCTGTTTAATATCTACATGAAGCCGCTGGGTGAGATCATCCGGAGTTTCGGGGTGCGGTGTCATCTGTACGCAGATGATGTCCAACTCTGTCACTCCTTTCCACCTGCTACTAAGGAGGCTGTCGAGGTCCTGAACCGGTGCCTGGCCGCTGTAACGGTCTGGATGAGGGCGAACAAACTGAAACTAAATCCAGACAAGACAGAGGTACTCCTGGTCAGTCGCAAGGCCGAACGGGATATAGGGTTACAGCCTGTGCTGGATGGGGTCGCACTCCCCTTGAAGGCGCAGGTTCGCAGCTTGGGTGTGACCCTGGATTCATCGTTGAGCCTGGATCCCCAGGTTTCAGTGGTGACCAGGGGAGCATTTGCACAGCTCCGGCTCGTGCGCCAGCTGCGCCCGTATCTCGGGAAGTCTGACTTGGCCACGGTGGTACACGCTCTTGTCACATCCCGCCTGGACTACTGCAACGCTCTCTACGTGGGGCTGCCCTTGAAGACGGCCCGGAAGCTTCAGCTGGTTCAGCGCGCGGCAGCCATGTTACTAACTGGAGCGGGTACAGGGAGCACACAACGCCCTTGTTGTCCCAGCTCCACTGGCTGCCGATTTGCTACCAGACCCAATTTAAGGTGCTGGTCTTGGCCTACAAAGCCCTAAACGGTTCCGGCCCAAAATACCTTTCAGACCGCATCTTGGCCTACGAGCCCACGAGGACCTTGAGATCGTCTGGGGAGGCCCTTCTCTCGATCCCGCCTGCCTCACAGGCACGTCTGGCGGGGACGAGAGAGAGGGCCTTCTCAGTGGTGGCCCCCCGGCTGTGGAATACTCTCCCTGCAGACATCAGGCAGGCGCCCTCCCTTATGTCCTTCCGAAAAAGCCTTAAGACATGGCTGTTCGAGAGGGCATTTAATTAAGTGCTATGATAAGATGGTAAAGATGACTGGAATGGAACAAGGAATATGAGATTGGTGACGATTCTACTATGAGACGAAGCGGAC